ACAATCTCTCTTCTAGAGAAGATGGAGATTCAGCTAAAGATTTCCGAGGGGGATTCTCTTTTCCTAACAGATGAACCCAAAAGAAAACAATTACTCTGAGCTATGAATTCTAAACGACATTGTATTTGATTCGTGACAAGAAAATCCTTTTCCTTACCCTCCAGTTTTTGACTTTTTCTTGGTTCACTACCCCTTGCTGATTTAGTTGTTGCTTTTTCTGGTGGCTGCTGAAATTTCCTCAGATGAGAAATCATGGGATAGATATTACTCCCCATATCCTTCTCCGTCTCCATATCTAAAATTGGCATCGCGTCTCTGCATTGCTTGATAGCATCGTAATTTTCTTCGCAATTGTTATAGTACCCAAGTGATGGCTCACCCAAGCCAAAGAGTACAGCAAGTTGGGCCAGCTGCATCATTGGTTAAACACAAGCTCATGTTACAAAATCAACAAGTTAAGAAATGACAAAGACCAAAGCAGAGATAGATACCTTGGTCCCAGACGAAATGAAGGGAACTGTATCAATTATTCCTTTGGGCTTAGGAGATGGTTTCCCAATATGATTAAATTCTTCTTCCAACTTTGCCCAATCAGAATTGACTAGGCCGTGGCCAATCCAGAATTTGTCGTGGAGGATAAAGTAGACAGACTTGTAATATCTATCTAATGTAGGTTTGTTTTTGTCCCGAGCTGGAGTGGTACTTGCTGGTTTACCAGTGTTATCAGTAGCTTGAACGCAAAACCGGTGTCGAGTAATAACTGACAGCGTCTCAGAACACGCTGTCATTCCACTGAAATGCAGCAACCCATCCCTACCGTCTTTGAAATCAAAGAAAGCAACAAGCTTCCCCAACTCCGGCATCTGTGAAAAAACAAGAAAATTATACATGAGAAATTTAATTCACATCTCCAGCATCCATAACAAAACCGATCGAAACCGTAGAAATCTATGTCACGTAACCAAGAAGAACCAATCAGATTGTATGAACCAATAACGATACAAAGGCTTGAAAAAAAAGAGAGTTGATTATTTATATAATTTGGTACCATTCTAGGCTCAAGATATGGAGGAAACTGTAAAGGCAAAAAATAAATGCTCTCATCCGATTAGGACAATGACACCATATATCTCCAAGATCATATAGAAAACTTTTGAAATTCAAGCAATCAAGAGTCACCAAAATCAGAGACAAGGCAAAAGAGATGAATTTATCACCGAATCAATGATTCAAAACAAACTCAGTATTCGATGAACAGGATTTTGAATTTCATCATCAATATTAATTTAATGGAATTTCAGATCAAAAGAAACATAATCGTAATGAAACTATATATTCTTCTCAATTTCATATACTCAAGACAAGAGCAAACTCTAGTCTTCTCTACACAACACAGTGATTTATCGAATTCAAGAATCTAACTCATGAAAAATTACAGATTGAGAGCAGAGATGAAATTGAAACAAACGATCGAGACCAACAATGACGCAAGTAAGAAGATTTCGTTCATGCTTGGGAAATTAGTTAATGGGGTAGAGAAAGGTGGTACCTTTGAACTCGGTCACTCGAGAATCCGAATCACTGAATCAGATATGTAACTGGGTCAAAAGTTCAAACTCGATTAGAAAAACAGGAACCAACTTTCGTTGCCAATAAAAATTGAAGTCGTAACATAGAAAATTGAAATCGTTTTCACCTGGGATTTGAAGGGCTTGACAAAGATCAATTATAAGAATTATGACAACTTTAGGATACGATGGAGACTAGAAAATTGGACAAGAAAAGAACTAGGGTTCCCGATTATATGTGTTTTGTTTTTGGAAAATTTTTTTTTTTTTTTTTTTTATCTCAATATTCCCGCGTAAAATAAAATCTCAATAAAAAAAATAGCGTCATTTTTATTTAAATTGATACTAATTATTAGCCCTGGACACAAATACTCGGACCCGAAAAACCGACCCGAACCCGACCCGACTCAAAAATGAGGAACCGAACTCGAATCGGAACCGGTCAAATATCCGAACGGGTTTTAGTTTTTTTTTTTTTTAAGTACTCGGACCCGATCCGAAAAAAATACGGGTACCCGAAACACAAGTATATATCTCAAAAATACTTAATAATAATCCAACTACTCAAAATTATATTTTTTTTAAGATATTTCAGTTTTTTTTTTAATAATTTTGAATAATTTGAGTATTTTTTGGGTGCTTTAGATATTTTTTGGGATAATTTATATATTTTTAGTGCAATATAGCTATATTTATTTCGGGTATTTTGCGCAATTCGAATACTACTTGAATAATTCGGAGCTAATTTTTTGATTATTTTGGATACTTTTGGATATTTTTAGGTAAATTTAGGTTCAAAGTACCTATCCGAATCGGAACCGGCAGAGTCTCCAGGTATTTACGGATATTCGACTTTATGTCGAGAACCGACCCCAACCCGAAAGGACCCGAACCGAACCCGAACCGAAATTTAAAAATACCCGAACGGGGCTAAAATCTATAAAAAAAAAAGTTATCCGAACCCGAGAGGATCTAACCCGAACCCGACCCGAATACTCATATGCCCAGACCTAGTAGTTATTTTTATGTTAACATCAAAATAAACAAGTGATACTAGAATCGGCCCATTAACATCAATTATAGAACTGACGTAAGAATTCAATATTTAACATGCTAAGTTAAATTTTTATTTTTTATCTTAACATCGTTTTTTCAATTGACATTATAAAAGTGAATCAAAACATCCGTTTTTTAGTATATTATCTTTGGTTTTCATCTTTTGTTCATCTCTTTAAGACTATAGAGTTTAACATTCCACATGAACAATCTACAAGTCTCTGAGGATGGCCTAACAATCTCACGATGCAATATATCAAATATATTTGACCTTCCTAATGATCTCGTTAACAATATACTCTCGAGATTGCCGGTGAAATCTATAGCTAAGCTTTGTTGCATATCGAAGCTTTGGTCATCCATTTTTCGCCGTCCACATATCAGTGAATTGCTCTCTATCAAGTCTTCTGGTTCTCCAAGAATCTATCGAAGCATTGTTATTCTAGGATACGATGGAGACTAGAAAATTGGACAAGAAAAGAACTAGGGTTCACGATTATATGTGTTTTGTTTTTGGAAATTTTTTTTTTTTTTTTTTTTTATCTCAATATTCCCGCATAAAATAAAATCTCAATAAAAAAAATAGCGTCATTTTTATTTAAATTGATACTAATTATTAGCCCTGGACACAAATACTCGGACCCGAAAAACCGACCCGAACCCGACCCGACTCAAAAATGAGGAACCGAACTCGAATCGGAACCGGTCAAATATCCGAACGGGTTTTAGTTTTTTTTTTTTTTTAAGTACTCGGACCCGATCCGAAAAAAATACGGGTACCCGAAACACAAGTATATATCTCAAAAATACTTAATAATAATCCAACTACTCAAAATTATATTTTTTTTAAGATATTTCAGTTTTTTTTTAATAATTTTGAATAATTTGAGTATTTTTTGGGTGCTTTAGATATTTTTTGGGATAATTTATATATTTTTAGTGCAATATAGCTATATTTATTTCGGGTATTTTGCGCAATTCGAATACTACTTGAATAATTCGGAGCTAATTTTTCGATTATTTTGGATACTTTTGGATATCTTATTATATAAAGTTGGGTTTTCGAAGTTGCTAACTCAAGAGATTGCGACACGTCTTATATTTATCGGTCATAGATTTTGACATGTGTCAAAAAAAAATTTTGTTTTTAATAATTTTAAATATGTAAAAAGATAATTATGAGAAAATATAAAAATTTAAAAATGTAAAAATATAATGTTAAAAAAATTATAAATTAAATAAATTTTAAAAATATAAAAAGATAATGTTAAGAATTTTTTAAATTTAAATATGTTAAAAAGTCTAAGAAGATAATTCTAGTTACTAATTATATTTTTAAACTACTAATTATAAAAGAAAAAGTATTACATAAATGAGAAATTGTTAATAATGCCCTGTTTCACACACCCTTTTTTTAACATTGCCCCTTTTTGCTTGCCATTTTTAAAAATACCCCTTAATTAATTCAAATATGACCAAAGTACCCTTGCTTTCATAACCTAAGATCTGCACGGTTCTCTCAACCATTCTCTCTCTTTCTCTCATTTCGATCGGCGAAGATTTTCCGATCTCGATTCCGTTATCTCGATTCCATATCAAATCGGCGTCTCCTTTCGATTTCGCTTTCTATCGGTGGTAAAATCTCGTTGTTCGTTTTCGATTGGATCTGTTCGATTTCGATCGGCGTTAACATCTTTTTGTTCGATTTTGATTTCTCAGCGTCTCCGTCTCCGTCTGTGTTTTATTTCGATCTGTCCTACATCGATTCCAGGTTAGATTCCTCACTATGTTTTAGAAGCTTTTTTGAAAGGTTTGTCTTTTGGAAGTTAGATTCTGTGGTTTGATTCTGTGGTTTAGATTCTGTGTTTCTGTGAAAGTTTGGTCTTCTTGAAGCTTTTTTTATCTCATTATTGACTAATAACGCTTGATTTGACTGCTTGATTTTGAACTGTAGATTTTACAACATTTTTAAAGGTTCGTTCTTAACTTGTAAATGCTTCTTAATGCTTGATTTAGGGTATATCCTCTCTGATTTATTCCATTTCTTGATTTTATAATCGTTAACTGTGGATTTTACAACATTTTTTAAAGGTTCGTTATTAATGCTGAATTATTCATTTGCTGTAATTTACAACCGTTTAAAAAGGTCTTAAATGCTGAATTATTCCTTTTCTGTATTTTACAACCGTTTTAAATGTTTTACATTCTTGATATGGTTTTTATGCTTGGTTTTTACGCAGATGTCTAACAATGACTCATTGGATGTGCTTAACCTACCGCCCCGTATATATAATCCCGGGTTTGAACCAAACATTGGAGCTGTTGTTATTCAACATTTCGAAACGCATTTGGTCAAAAAAGTTGAGCTCGCACTAGGGGAGGAACAGTTTAATCTAATTAAAGCCTCTTTCCTTGGTCCTATTATTGAACTAGCAAAAAGAAGTGGAGTTAATTTTTCGGGGAAGATTTTCCACTTCTTGATGCAGCGAAGGTTGCTTTTAAAGGAGAAGAATCTCTGGTTCACATTTGACTCCCAGCCAATGCGATTCTCAGAGAGAGAATTCTTGCTTACCACAGGTATATCTAAATTAGTTTTGTTTTGTAAGTTTTTAATCAATTTACAATGTGTTTTAAAAGTTTTACAATGTATTTAAAAACATTTAACAATGTGTTTTACAAGTTTTTATAAAACTCTAATATCAAATTTGTATTCACTTACAGGTGTTCAGTGTGACCTGATTGATAGTGAAATGCTTCGAAAAGGCAAAGCTCCATCAAAAGCTCCATATTTCTGGACTCAGAAAGAGCATTTTACGCTGGAACAACTCCAAAAACGTTTGTTTGAACCAAATCAGCTGCATCCGCTGGATGCTGAAGAGAAACTGAGTCTAGGTATGGTAATTTTGACAGAAGCCTTTCTCTTTACACCAGGTTCGTTGGAGAAAATCCCTTTGTCTAGACTGGTACATGCTTCAGAATTCGCAATCTACACATCTCAACCGTGGGGCAAGCATGCATATAGAGTTCTTGCTACAAGCATCCAACGGATAAATGAGAATACTTGGGCAAGAGGCACATATGAAGTAAAGGGATTTGCAATGGCGATACTACTATGGGCCTTCAGCGCAGTTCCATCTTTGGGCTCAGCGTTTGCAACAGAATGTGTTACATCGAGATCTGAGTATCCTTTGTGTTTGAAATGGGAAACAACTCAAACACCAAGATTTTCTCATGTTGTCGATGTCGTCAAAAAAATGAACTCAGTAAGTGTGGAATCCCCTCTTTTAATTGCCTTAGTTTTAAGATTGATGTTCAACATATATCATATTTTTACAAGAGTTTTTAAAGGTTTTACAAGTTCTTTTCTTTTGCCAGGTCAAGGTTAATACAGTGATTGGAAACCCGTACGAATATAGCTATTTAGTTGCTAGTTCGCATGAAGACGACATAGACTTCGAAGAAATTGTTCGTCTTGTTCAAAATGGATACAGGCTCAAAGCAACTGATTGGAGTGCTGGATTTGTTGATATTTTTACTGTATTACAAGAAATAGGGGAACAATCAATGAATAACAACTTGTATGACAGCAAGAAACTCGACAAGATCCTAAATTTACTTCAAGACTTCAACAGGAGGATTGCAGTAATAGAGTATGTTCTTAAAAGCCGTCTTGAAAAAGATGAGACTGAGAGATGCAAAAAAAAAGAGGTAATTAAATGGGATTTTTTTTTGTCAGTTACATGTGTATATAGTATATATTAAGATATCTGTATCTTTTTTTTTGCAGTCTGATATACAAGAAGAAACATGTGCCAGAACAGAAGAGGTATGTGAATAATTTTATTAAATCCTTTTCAATCAAAATTCGGATAGCTTTTTACAAGTATTCAGAATGTTTTTAAAAAGTTTTTATAAGTCATCTTAAATAATTTTTCTTAACTGTTCACACACACACCTCTTGAACCAAACTTTTTTGTTACATATTGTTTTTTGTTTACTGAATATGATTGTTTTGATTCTGTAGCAGTCTGACAAAGCTGGTCCCAATATAGATGGTGATATTGGTGTTGATGGTGATAGCAGAGAAGGTGATGAATGTGGTCCAAGTAGAGATGGTGAAATTGATGTCGATGGTGATAACAAAGAAGATGATGAATGTGGTCCTAGTACATTTGAAGATTCCATTCGTGAGCCTAACACAGAGGACGGGAGCTATGCTGGAGATGATGAAAACAGCCAGAAGATTCGTTCTGAAGATGATACAGCTGAACCTACAGCAAAGGTATATTGATCTACTTTTGTTTAAAAAGTCCTTGATATCTGAGTATCATTTTTGGTACTAATCCTATGGTTTTACAAGTGGTTTTAAAGGGTTTTAAAGGGTTTTAAAGGGTTTTACAAGTGGTTTTAAAGGGTTTTAAAGGATTTTACAAGTGGTTTTAAAGGGTTTTAAAGGGTTTTACAAGGGTTTTAAAAAGATTTTATATAGATCTTATAAGTGTAACAACTTTTTGAAAACCCCTACCCTAAATTTCTCTACTCCAAATTTCATTATTATCTGAGAATCATTTTTGGTACTAATCCTATGGTTTTAAACACTTTTATAGGATAAAACCCCTACCCCAAATTTCTCTACTCCAAATTTCAATATTATCTCTGAAGATAGTCAGGATAACGAGAAGGAAGGAATTTCAGTTTCTGAAACAAACAATGAGGCATGTAAGAAAAGTTCTGAAAGTAAGAAGTACTGTAGAAAGAAGAGATATGTCAGAGAAAGAAAAGAGGTTAGTATTCAATATTATAAAAGAAGATTTCTTACAAAATGAAGGTCAATTTAGAGATATGTTTTAAATGTTTATAATGAAATGTTTATAATGAAATATATTCAAAGTACTTACAGGGGACTTTTTTTTTACTTTTTTCACCTGCAGACAAATAAGCGTAAACAAGAGGATAATTCTTATAATGATATTCCTACAAGAAAACAGGTAAGAATTCAATTTTGTAAAACAATCTGTTCGTTTTTATAAACTAATTTCACAAGGAATGCATTGTTGCATTTCTTTTGTACATATATAAGCAAAGACATTACAAGTTTTACAAATCAAAGACATTACAAGTTTTACAAATTGTAATGTCTTTTATTACTGAGTATTCGTGGCATTGTTTGAAATTTTTACAAGTTGTTTTTATAAGTGTTATTTTTGTTTTTTTTTGTTTGCAGCCTCAGAGAAAAAAATGCAAAAATACTGACAAAGTTGCTGCTGATCTTGGAACAAGAACATGTGATCAAGAATTAGGGGATAAAGCTGATAATGATGTTCCACTAAAAACTAGTCAACAAGATGTAGATAATAAATCAAAAGCTGATGGTCCATCAAGAAGAAGCCAGCGAAGTCAAGTGCCTTCCATTTATTCTCAGCCACCTTACACGGCAGAGAAGAAGAAGCACCCAACACTTCACCCCTTTGCAAAAGTTGACACAAAAAGGTTTGAAAGTTTATGTGAATGGAAGAAGTCGACAAAAAACAAGTGAGTTTTAAGTTTGTAAAACTCATAATAATATTCATAACGTATTTTAAAGGTTTTACATCATCTCTGACTTTTACAATGTATTTTAAAATGATTTTACAACGTATTTTATTTTAAAATGATTTTACAACGTATTTTAAAGATTTTACATTGCCTCATTGGATGTTACATTGACTCATTGGATGTTCTTATAATTATATATATATATTTGTTGTAGGGTGCTAACAGTTGGGGGAATCAAAGTAGATTCCAAATGGTTCACAACACTAGAAACGCAGGGGAAACCAATATCAGGATCGGTATGTATGATTTTCTTTCAAGTATTCTAATCTTGTAAAACTTTAAAAAACCATTGTAAATTTTAAAGTTCATATAGACTAGCAAACATGAGTAATTTGTTTTCCTTTTTGTGTGTGTTTTTCTTAGCATGTTGATGCAGCTTTACACTTGATCAAAACTAGAAGGGAAAATCATCCAGAAATGTACCTTAACAAAACTGTTGTTTTTGTTGGATCATCTTTCTTAAATGCGATTGACGATGAGTATGCTGAGTTTGTAGTCGCAAAAGAGATAAGTAAGCTGGAGATTGGAAGCAAGACAAATTACATATATGCTCCTATGTGCTTGAAAGGAAAATGTTGGGTTCCAGTAGTGATCAATATCGAGAGAAGGTCTTTGATCATTCTCGATTACGCGACATCATTTGTTTCAGAAAATGTTAAAAGGATGCATGTGGTTGCATATTCTGTTGTGATGCCGTACATTTTGCGCAAGCTCCTCAACAAAACAGATATGGATGTTTCAGCATTCAAAATATCTGTAATGGACAATATATCACAGGTAAATTTTGTGATAAGTGAGATTGTAGATTGTATTCATTAAAACCTGAAAAGATTGAAGATACTGGGATGTACATGATGAAGATGATGGAATGCTATGCTATGCATATTAATGCAAATGAGAAACTTTCAGAAGGAAAAATTAGAGACATGAGAAAGAAACTTGCGGTTGACATCTTTATAGAAATAACAGATTTCTAGGTAAGACTTCTCTCAGGTTTTAACATGTAAATTAGAAACCTACAACTAAGCTTATATTTCTTGATTTATTACTTTGACCAGGGGCTAATTGTAAGAGCTGGGAAGAAAAGATTGCTGGGGAAAAAATGATCTGTTCTTTTTGAAGAAAACGTTGCTGTTTTACAAATTTTTAATTTTTGCTGAGAATATCTGTAGTGATTTTCCCATGAATTTTATTTTGTATAACTCTCTAGTTGTGAATTTAAGTTTTTTTTTTCTATGTACCTGCATCTATAACATCCAGTCTTCATTTATACCATTTTATCTTTTGATGTTAATTTTTAAAAGCTATCTAAACATTTTACAATGTTAAGTCTTCATCTATACCATTTTAATGTTTTTACAATGTATATGATTATATATAGAAAGAACTTTTAAAATTTTTACAATATTTATAAGCTTATGAAAATAAAACCATCTTATTTATATTTTTATCAAATTTTTCATGATTCTTTAAATTTACAATTGTTTTACAAAGTATTTTCAAGTTTTTAAAAGATTTTTCAAAATTTTGCAAGGTAATTTTAGTTTTATAATATATTTTTCAAAGATTTACAATGTGTTTTAAAAGTTTATAACGTGTTTTAAAATAGTTTTACAACCTGTTTTTAATCGAACTAAGAATAAGATAGTTGTAAATAGTTGGGCCGAAATAAAAAAGAAAAAACCTTTAAAACACTTTAAAACCCATTTGATAGAGAAAAAAAAAATAGAAGGGGGAAAAAAAACCGATTCTCTCAGTCTCCTTCTCCGTTGAGTACAAGAAGAATAAATTAAGGGTTTTCGCTTAGCTTCACGGCTTTAGATTCTATAGTTTTGGTTCCATCTCGGCTTCTCCGTTTTCATAAGGTTCAATCTCGTCTTCTCCGTTTTCATAAGGTTCAATCTCGACTTTTCGGCTTCTTCGATTTCATCTGCCTAGGGTTTTGGGTTCCGTCACATCAGTCGATTTTACGGTTAAATTACTTTAAAACTTCGTTACTTTTTTGATTCATATGCCAAATTAGGTTATTTCCCCTTCAAAATCGAGTTTTTGTGACATTGGATGATTTTTGAGATTTTGTGATTTTTTCTTTGTAGATCCGTTTTTATTCTTACAAGGACTTAAAAGGACTATAGAAATTCAATTAATTTTACCTTTGTTTTAAAATCTTTTACAATCGATTTTACAAGCAATTTAAATGGTTTTCAAAAGGGATCTAAATGGTTTGATTCTTTGAGAATGTGTTTGAGTATTGATGAGACTTTTCACTTTTCACAAAGCTTCCAAGTAGGTAATGATGTTTGCAATGTACTACTCTATTTGCATTTCTAGAGTTGTTCGTTTACATGATTTAATTTTACATGCGTTTTAAAGCTTCTTAAAGCTGTTTTACAAGCAGTTTAAAAGCTTACAAAGGGGTTGTAAATGGTTTGATTTTTTTGAGAATGCTTTTTGATGGAGATGTTTTAATTGTTTTTCTATCTTTCCTGCAACAGAGTGAAAAATGAGTCAACCTACAAAGAGGCTGTTTCTCCCAAAAAGACTGATTGACCCAGGGAATGAGGTGGATAATTTGAAAAGAATATCAAAGTATTCTTCAGAGAAACTTGTATTGAATGTTGTCAAGGATTCACTTAGTCCCACTGAGTTCAATCGGATTCAGAATTCTTTCTTGGGACCAATCATAGATTTTGCGGAACGTGAAGGGATCTGTTTCTCATCACAGCTGGTCCATCACTTTCTTCAGAGAAGAATAATGGTTAACAATGAGGAGTTGTGGTTTGTCTTCTCAGAACAACCCCTCAGATTTTCTCTGAGGGAGTTTGTTATTACTACAGGGCTGCCTTTGGGTGATGATGCATCACAAAGCCAGTCAATATGAAAAAAGAGAAAGAAAGAAGATACATGGATGAAGGATGGTTTAAGTTTGAAAGATCTCCTTAATACCTTGTCTACAAAACGCAATGCGATGGATGCTGATGAGAGGGTTAGGTTAGGTGCTCTGATTCTAGTGGAGGGCATCTTAATTGCTTCAAACCCTGTAAACAATATAGAGAAAGAACATCTGGTAAGAGCTAGTAGTTTCACAGAGTTCTGCAAGTATCCGTGGGCTCGCATTGTTTACGGGTCTTTGGTGGATTGCTTGAAGAAGATAACTCCGACTCAATTGTTTAGAAACCAATGTGGGCTTCCTGGGTTTGTTTTTGCAATCCAGATTTGGGCTTTAACCGCAGTTGCAGAGTTGGGACAGAATTTTGGCAGTCGGGTCCTAGAACCCAACGACAATCGTCCACTGATTTCGCAATGGATGACAACAAAATGCCCAACTAAGAAAGATATAGCAAAAGTTACAAAGGTTGCAACGGTATGACAGTTTTTCTCTACTACTTTTTTCCAACTAATAAGGTTTACAATTGTTTTACTTTGTTATACAAGAATTTTAAGAAGTTTACAAGGGTTTTAAAAAAATGGCAAGATTTTTACAAGACATTTTTAAAGGTTTTACAAGACATTTTAAAAGTTTTTACAAGCTTTAATACAGATTGTAAAACCTTTAAAATAGATAGTAAATGCTGTTGGTGTCGGATCCCGCACCAGAAGTACGAGACCAACCAAAGATTGCCACGTGATCAAGATAATGGCCCATAAAGGATGAAGCCCATTGGACCCGTGAGCCAAAGGGACGGTCGAAGTGGTTGTCACCATTTCGAGAATCCGAAGTGACTACACTGTGCCACGAGTTCGGTGTAGAAGACACGGGTAAGTCGGTTCACGGACACTTGGGCCGAAAGAGGCGAGGCCCATGAAGATCAGAGTCAACACAAATTCAAACGTTGAGCATTAAAGCCGAAGAATCGAAACGGACACATTTAAGAAGAAATAATTGTGCTTAATTACTCATTTTAATGTCGTTTATCGGTGTATAAATATAGAGGCCGATGGCCATGTAAAGGGGATCTTCCTCTCAAGAGAGAAATAATATAGCAATTTTCATATCAATTTACAAGTTTTTACGCATTCATTTTTGTCCCTCAAGAATAATCTTTCCCACTTAACAAAATACTTGAGTGTGCGAATCCGACTTCCACATTTTGGCGCCGTCTGTGGGGAATATCAGGATTCTTGAGTGGTCAGATTTCTTCTTTTCTACATTTCCGAGATAAGCGACAATGTCCGAAGGAGACGCCGTTGAGACATCATTGGCCGAAACCCTCAAAGCTATGCAGCAAACCATGTCGGACATATCACAAAAGTTCTCGGATGTGGAGAAGGCCGTCGATACGTTGCAAACATCCCAGGTATCTCTTAGTCAAAACGTCAATAATATACAAACTCGTGTTCGCTCTTTAAGTGCAGGAAACCCGGTGGGAACCCGAAGAGGGATATTCAACTCGCCAAGTTCCGCTGCACGAAATGAAACCAGCGGACAAACAACTCCCGGTGCTACTAATAATGTAGCTCAGACGTCGGAAGAAGAGACGCAGCTCGGGGATGAAGAACAACTTGCAGCTCAGTACGAGCAGGAGAACCTCGACCAGTTCGAGACCATGAGGAAGGTTAGCCAGGAATTAAAAGAAATGAAATCAAAATTCCATCAGGCTACAAGTTCGGAGCCAGACATCAATCGAGTCATTGAAGAAGCTAGGCGAACACCTTTCATCCCGCGAATTGCAAGTTTAAGGATCAAAGATTCCCGGAAACTCAAATTGGACCCTTACAGCGGATTGGAGGATCCAAAAAGCTATCTTGCGGCCTTTCTGATCGCTGCTGGAAGAGTCGAATTGGATGAAGCTGACGAGGACGCAGGCTATTGCAAGCTATTTTCGGAGAATCTATGTGGCCAAGCTCTAATGTGGTTCACTCAATTAGAGCCGGGTTCGATCAGCAATTTCGACGAACTATCAGCCGTGTTCTTAAAGCAATACTCTATCCTTATGGATAAAAGTGTTTCGGATGCCGATCTTTGGAACTTAACGCAAGGATCTAATGAGTCACTTCGAGTTTTCATCACCAAATTCAAAGGAGTGCTGTCAAAACTCCCAAGAATCTCACAGCAATCAGCTTTATCTGCCCTACGGAAAGGATTGCGACATGATTCAAGGTTTAAAGAAGACTTAATACTTCATAAACCAGATACAATTCAGGATGCACTCTTCCGTGCAAACAATTGGATGGAGGTAGAAGACGAAAAAGAAAGTTTTGCCAAACGGAACAAACAAGAAAAGCCGGCAATCACCGTCCCTACCAAGAAGTTCGAGCCTAGAGAGAGCAAAGGACCAAGGAAGTTTGGGTCGCAACCCTTCAACAATTCCGTCGGGAAGCAATTCCAAGGGAAAGGAAGATCAAGCACTTGGGTCCGTGATGAAAGTCTGTATTGCGACATTCATAAAGTAACCGGACATTTAACCAAGGATTGCAGCGTTCTTAAAAAGCACCTCGCAGAGCTTTGGGCTAGTGGTGATCTTTCTAAATTCGATATAAAAGATTTTGTGAAGGAATACCACGAAGCAAAGGAAAACTCCAAAGATCAAGATTCCAAAAGACCAAGGTTATCCAACGAGGAAGAACCAAGGAGTTCGAAGGGGAAGATCAATGTGATTCTAGGAGGTTCCAGATTTTGCGGAAATTCAATAAGTTCCATCAAAAAACATAGACGAAATGTCTTACTCAAAGCAAGCTTGAGTGAAGAAATTGATTTTCAAGGTGCTTCAATATCATTTAACGAAGAAGAAACGCGGCATCTCGAAAGACCGCATGACGATGCTCTAGTCATTACTCTTGACGTTGCAAACTTCGAAGTATCAAGGATCCTTATAGATACAGGCAGTTCGGTCGACTTGATCTTTTTAAGTACTCTAGAAAAAATGGGAATCAGCCGAGGAGACATAGTAGGACCCCCATCTCCGTTAGTTGCATTCACAAGCGAGTCAACCATGTCTCTCGGAACAATCAAGCTACCGGTCCTTGCCAAGAAGGTATCGAAGATCGTGGACTTCGTTGTCTTCGATAAGCCCGCTGCTTACAACATCATCCTCGGGACTCCCTGGATTTATCGGATGAAAGCAGTCCCCTCTACATATCATCAATGTATCAAATTTCCAACATCAAATGGGGTGGAAACAATTCGGGGAGATCAAGAAGCTTCACGGACTTGTTACTTAGCTAGCCACCGTATGAAGATTCAATAGCAATTAACGAAGCCCGCAAAAGAAGGACTAAAAACAAAATTTCCTAGTGGGCAGAAGAAAGAGGATGTAGTAGTCGAAGTGGTACTGGAAGAAGACAAGCCGGACCGGAAAATTAGAATTGGAGCAACTTTGACTGGCCAAATAAAAGAAGCTTTGATCGAACTCTTAAGGAAAAACAAAGCATCATTTGCATGGTCAGCAGCGGACATGCCGGGCATAAATCCGAGTATAATTTGTCATGAACTAAACGTAGATCCAAGCTTCAAACCGGTGAAACAAAAAAGAAGAAAGCTTGGAGTCGAGCGGGCAAAAATAGTAAACGACGAAGTGGATAAACTCTTGAAGATAGGGTCCATAAGAGAAGTGCAATATCCGGAGTGGGTAGCAAACACTGTCGTTGTCAAGAAAAAGAATGGGAAAGATAGGGTTTGCATCGACTTTACAGACCTAAATAAAGCATGTCCCAAAGATAGTTTCCCGCTCCCGCATATAGATCGACTTGTAGAGTCCACCGCTGGAAATGAGCTGTTAACGTTCATGGACGCCTTCTCGGGTTATAATCAGATAATGATGAACCCCGATGATCAAGAAAAAACGTCATTTATCACAGATAGAGGTATCTACTGTTACAAGGTAATGCCTTTTGGTTTGAAAAATGCAGGAGCGACTTACCAACGGTTGGTGAACAAAATGTTCCACAATCACCTCGGGAAGACTATGGAAGTCTACATAGATGATATGTTGGTTAAATCGTTGAAGAAAGAAGATCATGTTAAGCATTTGGAGGAATGTTTTGATATTCTCAATAAATATCAAATGAAGCTGAACCCGGCGAAGTGCACATTTGGAGTCCCATCCGGAGAGTTCCTTGGTTATATCGTGACAGAGAGAGGGATTGAAGCCAACCCAAATCAAATTAACGCCTTTCTAAACATGCCATCTCCGAAAAACTTCAAAGAAGTACAACGGTTGACTGGGCGGATTGCGGCTTTGAATCGTTTTATCTCGAGATCTACAGATAAATCGTTGCCTTTCTACCAAATTCTAAAAGGCAACAAAGGATTTCTTTGGGATGAGAAGTGTGAAGAAGCTTTTGGGCAGCTTAAGGCGTACTTAACCACTCCACCTATACTGTCCAAACCGGAAGTGGATGAAAAACTCTACTTGTACGTTTCAGTTTCAAACCACGCGGTTAGTGGAGTCTTGGTTCGGGAAGACCGTGGGGAGCAGAAACCAATTTACTATGTGAGCAAGTCAATGACGGATCCGGAAACCAGATACACAATGATGGAAAAACTTGCACTCGCGGTGGTAACTTCGGCTCGGAAGTTGCGTCTATATTTTCAGTCCCATCCGGTTGAAGTATTAACTAACCAACCACTCAGAACAATACTTCATAGTCCAAGTCAATCCGGACGTTTGGCAAAATGGGCGGTGGAATTAAGCGAGTACGACATAGAGTTTAAAAGCCGGATCAGTATGAAGGCTCAGGTCTTAGCAGACTTCCTGACCGAACTACCAATACCTGGAACGATAAATCAACCGGAGAGCCAAACTTGGAAATTACACGTAGATGGGTCTTCAACAAAGCAAGGATCCGGAGTGGGAATTAGGTTGGAATCTCCGACATCAGAAATTCTAGAACAATCATTCCGATTGTTATTCAATGCCTCCAACAACGAGGCAGAATACGAAGCCCTTATTGCCGGACTTCGACTAGCACAAGGAGTTGGAGCTAAAGAAATATTGGCTTATTGCGATTCGCAGTTAGTAGCTAACCAATTTAATGGAGACTATGAAGCCAAAGATTCAAGAATGGAAGCCTACCTCGAAGTGGTGAAGGATCTATCTAAAAATTTCTCGAAATTCGAGTTAATCCGCATACCTCGCGGAGAGAATACAACTGCAGATGCACTCGCCGCATTGGCGTCAACATCAGATCCTGAGTTAAAGAGAGTTATTCCAGTAGAGTGCATCTCGGAGCGAAGCATTCAAGACAGCAAGGAAACCCTCGTCGTTACAAGGTCTCGAGCAGCGGCACGCGACCGTGGCGAACCAGAGATCGAACCGCCACCCAACAAACGCAGGAAGTCAAAAGGATCAAATACATCTAACAAGGAACTCGTTGTCTTAGCTGAAGAAATGATTCCAGAAACGATGATAGAAACCGAGCCAT